GATCAATTTATAGATGTCAGAAAATTGTAAGGTATGGGAACCAGTCTAGCTGGCCTGCACCCGTTCATGAACATGTAACCAATAGCAAACAAAATTTGGACTGAAAAAAAATTGTAAATTTGGAGCAGTTGTTGAAAAATAGTTAGGTTTTTCCAACGGTGGTCGGCCGACCACCGTTGGAAATGTATACAAAAATACAATTTTCTTGAAAATGACTTGACACCAGGTGCCATAATTTTAAAGGATGCTTTAGGCTGGCATTTACCAACATCCTAGTAAGGTATTTCGTAAAAACTTGGTAGTTTTATTTTTCGATGTTTGCAAATGTTGTATATTCCCTATAAGCATGCTTTACAGTATAAGCACAGTCGCCCCAGATTGATGTGTTGACACGCGTTCAGTCTGATACAAGTACCTTGATATGATCCTGTTTTAATTGTGTTACTGGGATGGGATGTAATCATAGAGTCAGATGGGATGGAGAATGGGAACCAGCAATCATGGGTCCTTGATTATTAATCAGACATTTTTGTTGTTGAGAAAGTCGGGTCACCTTATATTAAAAAGCAAAGGGCGTCTTCTCAGCCACCTATACTTTGCTGTTCCTGGAGCTGCAAAACAGACAAGAAGAAAACTCAGTTGTTGTCTATTGCGCGAGTTGTTGATTGAACTTGTATTTTGTTTCTTACACGTCCGCAGAATGCGCACCACTAGCACGATGTTTTCTGAGACGAAATTTGGAAGAAAAAAAACCCCATTCGTTCTCGCATGTTTTTTTTTTACAGGATGGCCGGGACGTTTGCTCTTATTCATTTAATATCATTTAATTTGTAATAAACTTTGTAGCCCATTTGTGCACATTCCAGGCCCCTTATGTTTAAGACCGGTTTGGAGTCTGGACGCTGATAACCCGAGCATCAAGACTGTGTTTAAAACCGGCCAAGCACATCATTTATTCCTATTTATAAATATAAATTTCCAACGATATATTGTTCAACAATAACGTCGTGTTTTTTAAACACTCCTTTAGGCCAAAAAAAAAATAAGTCTCCGGTTTCTGGTATGGAGCTTGCCCAAAAAGTGGTGCGGCGACGCGGCTGTTTTTTTTTACCTGTTTTTTTTTTGCTTCAAATGTCGGCTGATGACTGCAAATGGTGCCCGACTAAACTTCATGCAAATATGTGGGAGTCCAGAGAGGCCACATAAAGCTTATTCTCGATCATAACCCCATCTAAAAACACGTTAAAATTGTGCAGCAGCAGGATTCCAGTCAAATCAGGAGTTTGGCGGTTTGAGACATCATCTTTCATTGACAAAAAAACTTTGGCTACGGCGACGCGCGCGCATACCAGAAACCGGAGACTTTTTTGGCCTTATGGTATGTGCCTCTCGCGAGAAGTCGTAAACAACTCCTTATATGGAGATGGCGCGCGCGTGGCGAGTACTGCGCGATGTGGCGAGTACTGCGCGATGTGGCGCTGAACGCAGCTGTGCCGATGTGTGAATTACTGACTAGTATTGCACATGCCTAAGTGAGGATTGTGAAGCTCATCAACCAATAAAGGATAATTTCATAGGAGTCCAAATTTAATTTGACTGGAAAAGTGTTCAAGGGCCAGCCAGCTGGTGTTTAAGCAACCGTTTAAGGCCGACCACGTGATGACGGGCTCTCAACCAATTAGGAATCATGGTATTGTCTTAGGTATTTATAAAATGTGTATGATAAATAACTTTCAGTGTCAGTTCAATCCCAGTTCCCATGGTTTCGAGCAGTACGCTACCTGCTCTCTCACCCTGGTATTGAATCACTCTTTTGCATATCCAAATTGGATACGTATGCAATAGTCTGGTGCATGCTTGTGCTTTACATCAGCTTTTGTTTTTGTCTGGCGTTAAAACAGAATCCATTCGTCGCGGCGTGAGTCAGAAAAGACGACTGTTTTCGAAGTTAAAATGTTACCATCTTATCCAGCCAATAATAATATCCTATTTCAAAAGTCTAGTTAAGTAAGATTTGAGGCTTTGCATGGTGGAGATACTAAATAATGAAAGGTTTGGGGAAACACCAGGTGCGAATGATTTCTCAACTAAGAGAATGGTCCTGAAAGGAATAAGAGGTATAAACTTGACGTTTCTTTTTATTTAGCCAAGATGGCTAAATATGTGAAAAGTTGAAATCGTGTGCTTTATTTTGATACCAAAAATAACTTTTTTTGACAAATATAAAGTATTGTTACGGCCTGTCAAACAAAATCATATTTTTTTTGTCAACAAAAGCGAGGGCCGATAGTTTTTAGGTGTACATTCGATTCTTAACCCCTTAAGGACGGGTTATAATGGGGACATTCCTCCACACATAGAGCAAGTGGCCCGCATGACTGCACAGCCTTTGTGTGGTAGCGGGACTGCACAAAAGCAGCAGCTGTGGAACTACCCATTAGCCGTGTGCCACGGCATACCACAGCTGGCAACTGCATTCCAATGAGGATTAGCGGCCGCGGCCATGACCGCTTCCCGTGCGCATGGGGTTAAAAAAGGCCGAAAAACTCGGCAAGATTCATTAGATAGAGGAAAGTATACGCTTCATTTTCATGCGAAACACGTGCAGGACTAATGTTGTGGTCCAAATCGCTGGTTGAAAAATGAAGACTTTTGCGAGATTTCATGATTTGCAATCACATGTACGTGTGTAAACGAACGTACATAAGTACACCGACGTTGGCCTGAAAACATTGTGAATAGCACGTACGTGCGAATGTGCAATGAATGACTTATGAATATTAAGCAGGCCATACTCGAGCTCGACCAATCAGTGGGTGTATGGGGTCACAAGGTCACACCGTGTTTGGGTTCCTCGCTCTATAGCTTTACAATGGCGACGATCTTTTGGCGTTGTGAAAAAAATGAAAGTTGTTGGAAATGGAAACATAGAATTCTTAAAATATTCAGGACATCACGTTCACGAGAATTTTTATAGATGAAGGTTCATTCTTTCCTTTGATTACCTCAACATTTGGGAGACTTTCGTCGTTGTCGAAAAAACTGGAAATTTCATGACCTAGTTTTTAGTAAATGTGTCCGTGAAATAATATCGTCAAAATATGCACTGAAATACTTTTTTTTGGAGAAAAAAATACCTTGATAGATGTTTGAAGTAGGTCTTTAACTACCTAAAACAACTTTGTTCGGATCGGTTGTGATTTGCCATGAAAATTGCGAATTTTCTGAAGCCCTTTTTTACGGCCATCTTTCGCTGGCCTCGCGTTGCTGTTATAGTTGTGTGGACGACAAAATTTAGCAGCTACGCGTGACACGGCAATTACTGACTGCTAGCGATTCAAAATACAGCTGTCGTGCACAAAATTGAAAACGTTTTCTCCAAGTCGGAATATGCTAACAGAAATACTCAACATCATTTCCGCATGGCAGCGGTATTTGCGTGACGGTGCAGTAACCGGTTAGCGTACGCAAAAAACAATTACCGACTTGGTACCAAGTCTATAGAAAGAGTAAGTGCCAATCGATGTGGACCAGCTTACACGCGTATAGACGAAACATGATGTTGTTGGAAACTTGAACCCCAAAACACTTTTCTGGTGGCATTTTAGGACTGCAAGCATGTTCTTTACGGGACGGCTGTACAAGTGACCTTGACCTAAACCGTATGGCAAATGCGGTTTGAGTGGTCCGTGGTGTGACTCAGTATAGAGCTATCATAAGTACCCACTGTTTGAACCATGGAGGAAGGATGTTTGAACGACATCCCTCCTCATCACGCACGGACCACCTTGTCTCAGATACCATATCTCCCGAGCATTGGGTTAAATTAATTTAGGAACAAAATATGCAGCATCTCTACATGTGATGTAAAACTGACTGTTGTCGACGTCCCGGCGCGACCTAACCATCATTAAAATACAGCCGTTTTCGGCGGCCATCATTCATCCAAAATGCGGCATCCCGCTAGTTCATAACGATAGACCCCTGTGTAGGTAAAATTTGATATAGTCAGTGTCTGGACTAGAACTGGATCTGGCTCCAGCCCAACCGTACGAATAATTCCCACACATTTTAGGCATTTTGAATACTACACTGATATGACGGAGCTAATACATGTACTGCACTTCAGTAGCGTGTTTTGACGGAAGTTAGATCACTGTGAATGATGAGTCATGCGAATGCGATATTATAACACTCGAGCTCATAACTTGCCCATGCAGCTTGAAAATTTACAGCATGCAGCCAGCGCATAGTGAGACCATGATAAGGCCCATGACGAGACTCACTTTTAACTACTCAGCCGGGCCGGGTGTACAACGCATAATGTTAAATTCAGTGAAAATAAAAAATGAGGCCGCTGATGACTGATGATTATGCCTGCAATTGTGCTTTTTAATTGGTTTATCTGGATATATTGCAGGAAAACGAGGGGGGGGGGGGGCAGGGAAAAAGTCTAAAGGTCAAGAGTACAATATCATGACGTCAGTGGCGTAGCCCCAGGAATTTTTCAGTGGGGGGCGCTGGGGGGGCTGGAACATTTCATGGGGGGCGTCATGTGGATCAATGATAATTTTTTTAGAAACTCAAAATCTCAGTGGGGGCGACTGGGGGGGGGGCGACAAGGTTTCATGGGGGCCTCATGATGCATCGATGACGTGCATGGTCATCGCATTTCAACAAGAAAATTAAAAACCACAGGCCTTACCCTACTTCGGTTAATAAAAATAAACATAGTCGCCATTTCTCTTTGTTCTTTTTTGTTGTTGTCAGGCAGCAGATTAAATTGTGCGATCATGCGTTTCATGTGATTGTTACCGCGACTCTCATTGGCCAATCACACGAGAGCCGACACTGACGCCTGCTGTTGCTGGCACAATGCCACGTCCCGAATATACCATGATCACGCTCTAGCCGCGTGATAGATGTGAATCGATAATTGTCCCTGGTATCCGGTGCTCCCAGTTCCCACGCTAAACCGACCCAGTTATGACTCCCGGCTCACTCCCACACGCACGCGAGGCCAAGTCGCGCTCGTCCAATCAAATCTTCCCGCATGGAATTTCCTTGCTGCGGTATTGTTAATGGCGCGTAAACAACAAGGTCTGCGTACTGAGTGTGCGCGGTTTGTTGACTTCCATGATAAAACATGGCGGCTGTCATGGAAGTTCTCATGGAAAAGTAAGGAATTTCCATGGTCAATGCTTTAATTCCTAGTTTACTGAGCGTGTCATGCCACAAAATGCGAGCGGGATATGGATGGTGCGCTGAAATGTGACAAAGATTATCTTTCGAGACGAGGAGTTCTCGACGACGTAAGACGACGTGCAGTATCCAAGTATTCACGTGAGTTTACACAAATACGTAAAGGTTGCAGCTGCGTGTATTTTCAGTCAGTCATGTCACTGTACGTGTAGGAACGTTACTTACACATGCTTACATGGTTAATAATTTTTACCCTTTTGCAAATTGTAGTTTGTTTACCGTCGTGAGAAGACTAACAGTAACACTAATTAACATGACTAACGTTATTACTTTTATTCCTTCCTCCATGTTCACAGTAACTAATACATTGATGCATGGCCGTCTGTGTTTATGTGTCATACTTGGCCTACTGTCATGACTGTATCATTTACAATGCATGTTTCATGTATTTATTTATCATGTTTATATTGAGCAAAAATTAATAATTTCTTCAGTGCTGTCGTGGCTGTCCGAACATGTCAATTGTCATGGATAATACTGATAGAGGAATAACGTGTCGTTAGGGCTAGCATGACATGCATGACTAGGAATGACTTAGGAGCTTTGAAAATACGTTGCAAAAGTACTACTACTAGTACTAGGCCATGTAGGCCTACTTAGTAATAGCTAGGAGTATGACTGAGGACAGAAAAAAAAGGTACAACTTGCACGTGTACACGTGTGACAATTCATGAAAGTGATTCTGAAGTGTAGGGAAAGGGGTTTTTTTTAGGCAGTGTATATTTTGCCGGAGACGGCAAACCTTTAGTAAACGTTAGTTTGCCGGATATGCACTGAACATGCGCAGTTACTGTTTTTTTGTACTTAAGCATTTTCCGGTGAAAAGTTTTAGTCTGGCTCCATGCCAAAATTATCGTTGTTACCTCGTATTCACAAGATGGGATTCAAACCATTTTATAATTTCGGACTTTATTTCCCTTTAAAAAAAAATCCTCCAGAGCCACAAATCTGAAAAAGAAAATGTAATACTCTGCAAAAAATGTTTGAGACATGTTAAAATAATAAAAGAAGAATATTCTTATTTATTTGGGGATGAGAAAAAAAACCTTAAAAATGTGGTGCGGTCGGAATCGAACGCGAGTCATCCCGCTTACTAGAGCCTTTGCTTAACCATTACACCAAAAGTGCTACACAACTTTTGGTGGGAATTTAATACATCTTATAATTCAGCCCTATTTTAAAGAGTACAGCGCCCTCTGTTGATATGGATTGCCGCCGGCAAACCTTTAGTAATCGTTAGTTTGCCGTCATTACCTCCGGCAAAATATTCACTATCTTTTTAAAAAAAATTTTGCTCCATGTAACTACATGTAGTTACCACCTACCGAATCAAGTGTGGTCATGGTAGTGTGCACTTTTAACTGTTAAGTGTTATGTATTTTTTCATGTCAGTTTTTATCAATTGACCTATCGCCGTTTGCGAGTTAGCCATGCCCATTAGACAACCCTATTCGGTTTGTTAGTAATAATGTCATTCACGCGCGCCCACCATTGAATTGGCTACAAACGCTCAAGCTGCGTTAACTTCCGGTTCCAATCGTTTAGAAAGTGCTGGAGGTGACGTCACACTAACGAACCGGATTGAGTTTTTGTACACAAAGTTTTGTTTGTCTCAGATTTTGCGCGTTCCGCTTCCATTTGTATATTACAGGCATGCAACTTTTCCTCATATCAGCTGATTTCCTCTTTTTTCACTTCCAATGTGTGCCATTAAAATAGAAAAACACTGTTCAAAATCTTAGAAAAATTTGAATTTCCTCTTTTTTGTGTGACTTCCCAGTTGCATGCCTGATATTATTATGTCATGTATGTAATTGGACAATATTGCACAAGCTGCGTTGACGAGATTCTAACGCAATTCTACCGCAATAGGTCAACTGTTCCTATGGTGCCACTGATAATGCTGTCAGAACTCTCTTCGGATTTTTTTTTTTTTTAATTTGCAAAAAGCCTTTCTTTTTGTTAAGATTTTTCTTTCTTCTTCTTCTTCTTCTTCTTCTTTTTGTCTCCTAAATCCCATAGACTTTGTACATGTTTTCTCTCAATGCCGCTTTTGGCATTAATCTTTGTCGTACATCATTCGAAGTCAGCATAGGCATAGTCCATATAGCAAAGTTGTGTTCCGAAGAGTGACGTCATCATGACATCACCATGGGTCACGTGACGTCATCACAAATGTGCAAACTTTAAGACCCTATATCTAGAGAACTGTAAGTCTGATTGGGTTGAAACTTGGTATGTAGGTACACCGGGATGCGTTATAGGTAAAAATTGAGGTGATGTCATGATGACTTTATCGTGCAATTTAACATGATTTTGTTGAATTTTTAAACCTTTAAGCCATATCTCTTGAACGCAACATGCAAAATTAAAAATTCTTTTTGTATTTCATTTGTTAGGTAATAGGCAAATGTACAAAATTTTGAAAAATGTGTGACGTCATCATGACGTCATCAACAATTCGTTTTTTTTTAAACACATATAAGGGAAGGGTTGATCGTCATGAAACTTGGTGGATAGCTAGATAATGGTACTGGTACATGCAAAATCCGAAATGACGTCACCATGACGTCATCGCATGGTTTTTAATAATTTTTTTAATATTTACAATTTTATTCCGCTTCCAAATTTTAACACTTCCTTTCATTGGATTGACTTCAAGCTTGGTACAAACCAAGACCACAATGCAAAAATGTGCATTGACAAGTGTTATCAAGATGGCGTCATCGCAGGGCATGTGGCGCTATCATAAAGATGCATGTTTTATAGTCTCATATTGAGAAAACTATCGGTCCAAATGGGTCAAAATTGCGTACAAAGGTAGTCCGATACGTCGGACTTTATCTCACAGACACTACATGCTAAATTTAAAAAATATTGTACCGTATACAATGTACTTTGAAACGTTTTACATGCAATGTCTGGGACGTGTTATTGATAAAAAAAAAGAGCATGATGCGGAAAAGCCCTATGTTCTGTTGCAAACAGACATAGATCTCTAGTTTCATCTTCTATCCCTAATGTCAAAATATTGTACGCTGTGTTCTGCCCAGCACTTTTGGCATAAAACATGTCATATTTACTTTGAAAGTGACCAAAGACAAAGACCATAGCAAATATGGTCTGAGAAGATTGGTGTCATGCTGATGGCGTCATCCTGATGTCATCATGTGTCACGTGACATCATAAAAGAGATGAAAGTCCTATCTGGAGAAATACAAGTCTCAATGGATCGAAAACTTAAGTAGACAGGGACATGTTATAGGTAAAAAAAAAAAAAGCGGTGACTCATGATGACTTATGATTTTTTTTATGGCTTTTGAATGTTATGTATGCTAAAAGCCGTAGGCTATTGGGTGATAGGCCTATTTTTGATAGGCCTTTGTTGTGGGTTTACTTGGTCGTATTTAAATGCACAGAAATGTGACAAGTGTTAAAATTATGATGACATCACACATTCTTTTTTTTTTTTTTTTTTTTTCAACCTTGCAAGGGTCTATGAGATCGTCATGAAACTTGGTGGGTACATGTACACGTGTAGACATTATTAATGCTAAATCCGAAGTGATGATGACGTCATCTCTTGATGTTTTTGGGAACAAATGTAGTACCCAGACGCCACTTTGTACAGCGGTGTACAAAGTCTATTGAGAGTCAAAATGGGAAATGTTTCTAAGTCCCAGATTCATGTCTTTTCAACATTTTAGCAATGACTGAGCTTTATTGAGATGATGTGAAGACAAAAAATGGCGTCAAGATGCAACATTCTTTCCTTTTTATGAATTTTTAACTTTTTAAGATTTCATTCTTCTCAAAAATTGACACTGTCTTTGCTCCTAAATATTGACTTCAAACTTGACACAAACCAAGACCACAGGGTACATGTGTGCACAGTGACATCATGATGACGTAGAATAGTAATGACTCGAGTCAATGACTCGACTTGAGTCACAATTTTTGGTGACTCGACTTGACTCGAGTCTGGGCAAATGACTCGACTCGTCTTGAGTCCCTCATCAGAATGACTCGACTCGACTCGAGGAAGGCTAATAAGACTCAATTCCCAAAAATAAAAGCAACACTTTGTGAAAAATATTTGCAATGACTATTGTGTTCACGTCACGTTAGAATTTTGGCGATAATACATGGTTTGATCAGTGTCCACATTAGTTGAATGGCGATCAGCTGGCACTTCCTTTTCATTTTCAATAGGAGTCAAATGTGGTGTCACTGTCACCACATGTAGTAACCCAAATGTAAAATTGAAAAAGCAAAAAAAATGACTTTCTCTCTTCAGATTTCTTCCAATATTTGTGACTCGAATTGACTCGAGCTAAATACTTGACTCGACTTGACTACACACTGTGACTCAACTCGACTCAACTTTCTTGACCTAATGACTCGACTCAACTCAAGTCACTTCTTTAAAATGACTGGACTCGCCTCGAGTCACAAAAATCAGTGACTCGTTACAACTCTGTGATGACGTCACCACGTTCATTTGATTCATCTTAAAGGTACAAAATCTACAAGTTTGATTGAGTTGAAACTTTGTATGTACATGTACACAGACAAGGATGTGTTCTAGGTGTGATTTTATATTGATTTTTGAATTTTTGAAGATTAGCACCATATCTCACAATCAGCACAACATGCTCCATTACAAATCTTTTTGTAACTAATAGGTTTAGAAAGTCATGTACATGTATACATGCCCCAAAATGTGACAAATGTGTGATGTTATCATGACGTCATCAAACAAAACTGCCAGTGTTACTCGTACTCGGTACTGGAACTTAAGTACTACTCAAGTACTGCTCAAGTACTTTTTTTAGAGTACTTGTTCTCGTACTTGAATGTCAAAGTACTCGTACTCGAAATGATGGTACTCGTACTCGATCATCAAAGTACTCGTTCTCAATGTTGCCTGATTTCCCTCTGTGCAGTGCACGTCTGGACAAATGCTTTTAACAGCTAGCTGTTAATGGGTCTGTATATCGGTCTGACTGGGCCTGGCCAATTATATCACAATGAACCATTTGCCGTATGGTCGTATTCGGAAATAGATGTACTCATACTCTGAATACTCGTACTCATACTCTGAATACTCGTATTCGTACTCGGAATACTCGGTAAGCTGCATGTAAGTACTTGGTAATCAACTACAACACTGAAAACTGCCATTTTATTATCATCTTGATGAGAAGTGAGATATTGTTCTTAACCACTTCGTGCCGGGATTAATTTTGCCGAAAATTTTGATTTTTTGCAAAAGGCAAAATTTTCCATCCAACTTTGATATAAAGGCAAACGTATGAAGCCCGGGAAGGGACAGGGTGGATTTTTTTTTTGGAATTTCCTAATTCGTTCGCACGAATTGCTAATTCATTCGCACGAATTGCTAATTCGTTCGCACGAATTGCTAATTCGTTCGCATGAATTCCTAATTCGTTTGCTCGAATTAGTAATTCGTTCGCACGAATTGCTATTTCGTTTGCACGAATTCCTATTTCGTTCGCACGAATTCCTAATTCGTTCGCACGAATTACTAATTCGTGGGAACGAATTAGTAATTACTGGAGTTATTCGTGCGAACGAATTGGTAATTCGTGCGAACGAATTACTGGAGTTTGCTAATTCGTTCGCATGAATTAGTAATTCATTCGCACGAATTACTAATTCGTGGGAACGAATTAGTAATTCGTTCGCACGAATTAGTAATTTGTGCGAACGAATTAGTAATTCGTGCGAACGAATTAGCAAACTCCCAAAAAAAATTCCACCCTGTCCCTTCCCGGGCTTCATACAAACGCCTTAAGTACTGATTCGCAAAAGTAATTTCAACAGTATTTGTTCGATGTTTCTTACCGAATGTTCAGGCATGCAGCTTTTCCTCGGATCAGCTGATTTCCTCGTTTTTCACTTCGCACTTATGCCATTGAAAATTGAAAAACACTGTACAAAAGTCTTAAGATTATTTTGTTTCTTCCAAGTTTCATGCCTGAATGTTTCCTTACCGTTGTTTCTAATCACGTTTCAATACTCCGGGGTAAGCACTGGAGGGTAAATTGTACAACAGTTGGCTGTACACAACGCCTATTCAAAGTCAATCCATGGTCCACCACCACAGACTTCATGAACTTTGTGTATGTGTGTAAAAAAGGCACAAGGGATTAGTGTGTTTAGATGTCACCCGGAGGCAAGTCGAGTCGAGGCAATCTTGCATTCTTAACCGTCAGCCGTGCCTATGTATAAAAACAGAGAGTGCATGTTATCACGTCCTCCAACGTGAACTGGTTAATATTCAAAATCCAAAGTGACATCATTATGATATAATCATGTGACACATAACATCACATTAAAAGTGAATTTTTCTAAGCCCTTAGATGATGTACACAGTCCATTATCCACCAAAGATTAAAGTTCTACAGTATGTAAACGTATAAATATGCCAGATGTCAACAAAATATTGCCGAAATACTGCCACAAACACAAGTCTAGTTATTATGTTGGATTTGTGTTGTTATTATGTTGATTATTTTGTTTTAATTGCTGAAAGTATTAAGCCGCTTTTTTAGGGGTAAGGAAATGGATGGAATTGGTTGGACTTACCCCATAAATGTGGGTCAAATACTGGACTTTCGTCATACTGTGACTGTTAGCCACGTGGACGTGATAGCAACGTTTAATTTCATGTCTGTTGTGGTGATGTGCATGTGGCAAATGGAAAAAAAATTCCAACAAGATACATATTTAACGCCAGTGAGAGATTTTCCAGGAACCTTCCTAATTACTCCTGCAAAATCCAACATCATTATGGTAATTTAAACCCAAACTGTTGTACTCTGATTGTGGTGGTATGCCTGACTGCATGTAAAGCATAATCAGTTTACTATTGCAATACTCACTCCAACAGATTCCAACAAAAATGTAGTTGGATTTTGAAGGGTTGGAGTGGTAAGGATTAATACATGTAGGGGTCGCACCTTGACCAGCATGTGGGGTTGGATTCATAGATTCATCTTGTACATGTATGTTGAACTAAGTGCACCATCATGCAGTTTGCATTTTCATGTAGACAAACTGAATTTAAACATTTTTTTTTCACAATTTTGTTTTGTTTCACAGGTCAATGCCCTCAGTGCGGTAATTATGCTAAAAGGTGAGTGGTAATTTTTTTATTTTTTTTTGGTCACATCTAACCCTGTCAAATGCAACACTTTACAAAACAAGTATGAGTGCACAATTATCTCTGGCCGTCAATGATGCACCCAGGATTTGGTTTTGGGGGGGCTCAAATTTTTTTTTCACGAAATTTTGCCCAAAATTTTTGGCTGCAGAAAAATAGGGGCGGCCTATTTTGAAGTTGGTGGCCCCACTTACACCCCTATTATACTACTTGAAAACAGGCCACAATCATATCACCAAGGCCAAATCGTGGGACTAAAAAAAAATCAAAAAAAAAAAAAATTTTACAACCTCTTGGAGGGGGCTCAAGGAAGGGTATACTTTGTCCTAACTGCCTATGGCATTTTGGATAGGATGCTGCTCAATCCTGCAAAATCCTCCAATTACACAAATGTAAAAATTGGAATCTGCCTTAATCCTACAAAATCCTCCAGGGTTGACCACTGTGTCATCCTTCAAAAATTCTCCAACAGTTACTGTCAATACATTGAGGCAATGCAGGTTATATCCCGAAGCAGGGTGTGGATAGTATCCCTTTTGGCCATTCAGCCGCAATCCAAAATCTTCCAAAATTGCCTGATTGAATTTGGTGGATTGACTTCGGTGGATTGACTGAGGAGGGTTAAGGTTAATCTTAACCCCCTAGGCCTTTTCGCCTACATTTAGGAGCCATCCTCAATCCTGCACAATGCTCCAATTGCCACCATGTAAAAATAGGATTCAGCCTCAATCCTCCAAAGTCATCCGCTATTTCTTGAATTTGTTCAGTGGAGGGGTCACCATTGCCTCAATCCTTCAAAATCCTCCAACAAACACTGTTAACCCCTTGCCGCCGGGTTTTTACGCCTCTCTGCACAGGCTTACACCCATCACTGCACAGAGCCTCTGTGCAGTAGCAGCACTGCACTGCCTGCCATATGCCTTGCAGCCGCTCATAGACAACATTCCATGGCTGACCACCGCATTCCTGAGTGTGGCTATAGGGGTTAATGGGTTGAGGCAGGGCTGATGACATTCAGAAGCAGTGTGGATGATATCGAGCATAATGCAGGGCTCAATTATGCATGTCTGAACATAAACAATGCTTACAAACTCGACAGCGCATCCTCCAAAATCAACTGACACTTTTTGCCATTCAGCCTCAATCCTCCAAAATCCTCCAAAACCGCCTGGAGAATTTTGGAGGATTGAGGAGGGTGAGGATTAATTTAATACATAACATTGGTCAGGTACAGGGTATGTACATTTTAAATTAACACCAGGAGTCCCTCCATGAATGTTTGTAAAGATGAGGTAGATTTTTCCTAATTTTAAGGGGAAGAGGAAAGGAGAACGATAGGGAAAACGCTGGCGAAGGTCAGTGAAGACTGAGTTGGAGCCATTTGCATCTAGATGATAAGCTTGACTTTTATTTGAGTCTGTGGTTGCTCATCCCTGTAGTTATGTTTATGGATTCAATAAACATGTAGCTCCGTCCGTGTGGTAAACAAAGTTCTTTCAGCCAAAAGTGAAAGTTGAATTGTTCTGGAGTAGTACAACAAAGGTTAATCCCTGCAATACTTTGTCTACACACAAAACACGAACTTCAACAGTTAGAAAATAACTGAACCATACTTTTCATAGTTGTCGATGAACTACTGTTTCAGGAAAAATATCTTCCTTTAATTTTAAATACATAGAATAATGTTGGAGCAAGATGTTTACGTTATTAAACTGTAAAAGTCTGTAAGTTTCTCTCCTTGCATTTGCTTTTCTCTTTTTAATCCTAACCCCTAGGCTGTTTTTTTTTTCAACCCTTTAAAATCCTCAAATTGCCTAGGCCAAAAAATATATTTCCGCTTCTGATTATCATTATTACATATCTTTCAAAAATAGGGTCAGTCCGGAATAAATGGAAGCAGGAGTAATTTTGGTTGGTCCTACCTAAAAAAATTGTATCATCCTCAATCCTCCAAAATCCTCCAATAATGTTTGGTGTAGCGTACATGTTCAAATGCTGGTATCTACTGCCTCAACCCTTCAAAATCCTCCATTGGTGATGCATTAAAAAAAAATGAGGGGAAAAACCCCACAAAACAGTGCACAACAGTTCTGATACCATTATGTTCACTTTTTAAGACTTACCAATATACAATGAAGTGATTGACCTCAACCCAATGCAAGCTTAGCCCAGTGTTTATGTAAGATTTTATGAATACACACAATAACCTGGGCAATTATTCAATAACTCAAAATAACCTCAAAATCCTCAAATCAACAAGGAGTAAATCATCATGTGCCCTCCTCCCAAATCCTCCTCTTATCCATACAGCCATGTATAGGGCCTATGTTATGCACAACCTCAGTCCTCCAAACTCAACCAGTAACTAATTGCTGTGTGCCTGCAATCCTCCAAAATCCTCCAATATTACAATTTCCATTCAGCCTCGATCCTCCAAATCCTTCAAAACCACCCCAAGGATTTTGATGAGGGTGGTTGAGGGTTACCAGATGTCCAGTTCATGTCGGGGGACGTGTATGCAAAGGTTAACTGCGGTATTCGGAACGGATGACGGATAAACACGCACAGGCGACGAGGCTTGGCATTGCCAATCCACAATACAATAATTTAAGGATGATTTAAGTAAGTCACACGTACTAATTAACTCAATGTGATAACATGCCAGCAAACCTACTGGTAGTGGAGGATCTAGGCAGAGGCCTCCAGCAACAACAAGTGGATGATTGTGAAGGATTGAGGTGCTTAGAGATTTTAATTCTGTGCCATTGGGGGATATTGGAGGATTCAGACTACTTCTGGGCAAGAGAGGTTAGTGAGTTAGGGTGAAAGGTTAAGCTATTGTTTGTATTTAACGAAAGAAAACTTGACATAAAAGGTCAAGAATCAAGATCCAACTGGTTTGATTTACAATAGGAACCCATTAAATCATGTTATCAGGTCACCAAACGGAACTATGAAGGTCATTAATTTTTGCAGTAGGCACCTACCAGTACTGTTTGCAGTAAAAGGTCAAATTGGCTTAATTAAAGGTAGAGTCCATCATTTGCAGCCATCCGAAATGTAACTGGCGTAATTATTGTTGAAAAACTAACTTGGTTGAAAGATAGTAAGGAGACTAAACGTCCTGTGAAATTATTCTTTCTGGGAAGCTGTCATTTTGAAGTAATCGACGAAAGAAGGCATTTCCAACGGTGATTCTTAAGAAGCACCGTAGGAAAATTTAAATTAGTAGTTCGTTTTGTTATTCAGCGCAGCGCGCACAAGTATTCGAACGACGCACACGCGCGCGCGGTTGTTATAATTCGTCGGATCAGTGCGCGACGTCGCGTATAGTTGCAATTCAAAACAATTCAAAACATGATTCAGCAACTTTTGATTTGTAATGGAGATCTTAGAATGCTGTTTTTCTCGGAATGTACAGCTGAAGCTTAGCTGAAACTTCATCAGGTTAGTTGCTTAGTATCCTTCATTAGATTTTGAACTCTTTTGTTGCTTCAAACGAACAAAATGCACAAATTACAAATGATGGACTCTACCTTTAAAGGGACGTTGTCCTGGAATGTGCCCAATTGGGCCACAAAACGCATTTTAAATGAAATGATGTCAATTGCAAAGTGTTTAAAAGTAAGATATAAACATCCATACAACCATCCTTTAAAAACCTGGTGTTTTTGTGTTGTTCTTGCGATGGCGCACAAAAAAAAATTGACTTCGAAAAATTGAGCTGTTTTGGTGCTAGTCGTGATTCCAGTTGCACACATGTTCCTTTGAAAACATTTCTCAAAAACGCTATGTGTGTTCATCGGTTGAGTAAATATTGAGTGAATAACTTATTTGCATGAAAAACCACCACAATTGTTTTAAATAAAATTACCGCAGCTATTTGCGACATCAGTCTGATGCTGTCACTGCAACGAGATAGAGCCCATAATTCTATGTATTATTTACGACTGGAAATGTCACAAAGAGTCTGCCGCGTCCGATGTCAACAACCAGGCTGTTTTGTCTTTTCTCGGTAACGGTAAAACATTAGGTTAGTTTCCTTTCAACAAGACCTTTGAAATAGGATAAATAAAAAATTCCAAATATATATAAATTCAGGGATTTCAGGTCTCAATGCCCCTTTAACATTTCCTAAGTGACGATAAGACCCTAACAGTCCTGAATCCTCCAATTTTTGTAGGAGTTTTCACAAAGCTTACCAAATGGTCCAAAACATGCAGAGATAATCAAAATTATGTGTTAAGAGCCCTAATTTGGTACCATCCAGATAAGTACATGTAGCTCATGAAATGTATGTATAGGCCCCTGTAACTCTGAAATTTATATCAATGGAGAGCCATCTTGGTCTACCATAATAAACACGGGAAAAAAATCAAGTGCAAAGGTCAAAGGTCAAGCTTACTGGTAACCTAGAGGATGAATTAGGGCAAGAGGATTGTACTTGGTGAAGTAATCCTTTTGCAGCCCAATTACTTGGATGTTGTGCAGAGGTGACATCAACAGCCAGGTGGATAAGTTGCCATAAGTGAAAACAAAAAGAAAAGGTGAAAAGCAAGGTACACTATAATAAGGATAGACACTGATCCCTTCTCATCCAATTCTTCCTTAACTATTAGGCACAAAGATACTGTTGTCTAGTGCATATCCTCTTCGACCCTTCAGAATCCACCAGGAGGATTGGAGGATTTGCAGGGTTGACGAAGCATGGGTCCAGCTTGTTTTACTGTACAATAAAAATTTGTGCTCTGACATTCACAGCACAGGATGCTGTATTGCTGCTGAGGTCAATTCATATCCACTATCAAACCGTGTAAAGTAAAAAAATAAAGTTCCACGAGCCAATATGGCCCATTAGGCCGGTTTGTATCTGGTTTCCTAGACATGTACCGACAGCTCTAGATTACATGTATTTCTATTCCCCCTGGATGGGATGCTAGTCCACCGCAGGTTACTCCCCAGCTAATGCTGGT